CCGGGCCGGGGCTAGTAATTTAGCATGCTAATTCAGGTTAATATCTCGGCAGCACTATTACTTGTCAGTTTTTTAATGACATCATCAACCTTATTTCTTCTCAATCTTTTGATGCGTGTAGCTCATTTTTGGGATATTTTAACCTCAATTTTTACAATATAAAGTTAGATTTGGAAACGTATACACCCAACTCAGAAACCGGAAAAAAACTATGATGAAAAAAATTGCTTTCATGGTGTCAAAACACTCTTTGTCCAGTATCTTCACGAAATATAATCAAAACTTTCCGCAAATTCGCTGGAGATCGTCTTCTGGCAGCAAGAGAAAAATAGCGGAAAGACGGCCAGCTTGATCCTGATGATATGTAAACGGTCCGTGTTACATTTAACCCCGCGTTAGGTTGTGCCCCGCGCTTCCCTACGTTGTTTTAGCGTACCTTAGACATTTAGACGTTTTTTCTGGCGTGGATCAAGGCAAATGAATCATTTTCACCTTGAAAATAATAAATGTTTTTTGCATTTTTAATAATAGACCATTTCTCAGTGATCGTCAATAAAACTAAAATTCCGTTTTTCTCGGTTTAATGAAAACCAATAGGTCGTGATGGTAAGTTTCAGTTTAAGTGTAAGTTTCACGTTTGAGGGGGTTTAAACCGTGACATCTACACGTTTTCAAAAGTGGATCAACGTGATTATTTTACGTCTTGTCGTGATACCGGGTTGAAGAAATGTTGTTTCAGCCACTTTGTTTGATATAATCATGTTTTGGCCACTTTGTTTGATATAATCACAACAATTTAACGTATGCAAGGGGTCTTCAGTGCTAGCATTTGCACGCAAAAAAACATTTTTGGCGTATAAATGGCACGAGAAATGACATTCGGTCTATAGATACGCACTTTCATGAGACTGGTTCTCACTTTGCAGATTGTAAGAGTCCTCTGTGGTTAATAACAGAGCAGTTGAACATTTTACCCAAATTTAAACACTTGAAATGTCATGACAATTAGGCCTACTTACACTTTTAAATAACTGAAATAACACATCTATGATGCATTATGACCGTTTCTGGTAGGTCTGTAGGCCTATCCATTATATAAACGCACAATGCATAAACGCATTAATTCATTTATATTATTTATTTTTATTTTCACTTGTAAGACATTTTTATTATTTATTTTTATCCCAAGTTTTATCCCAAGTTATAACCAGTTATGTTACAATTATAATCATGTGCTTCCAAATTTAATATATATATATATATATATATATATATATATATATATATATATAACACAGTTGAGTTCTATCAGGCCTATTACCACCTCAGATATTGAGAGTTCTGAGGGAAATATAAATGCAGGGAGTATGTCCTTGGGCTATAGTAGCAATAGCCTGTGGTAAAATTTAGATGTAAAACATTCCTCTAAACATGAGTGTAAAAAAGAAATAAAAAGCCACAAGCACACTTAAAGACACAGTGCTTCAGATGACTAACATCTTTTTAACCGATATCACTGTCTTCGCATTGACTCCATTGACAAAAAGGCCCAACAGAGGTTGTACTTCCTTCGTCAACTGAAAAAGTTCAACCTACCACAAACGCAGATTACTCAGTTTTACTCAGCTGTTATTGAGCCGCTTCTGTGCACTTCTATAACTGTCCGGTTTGGGTCAGCCAGCAAGTCAGATATAAGAAGACTACAATGGACTGTTAGGACATCTGAAGGGATCAATGGTGTACACCTCCCCAACCTTCAGGACTTGTACAATGCCAGAGTGAAGAAACAGGCAGGGAACATCATCACAGACCACTCCAACCCCGGCCAAAATGGAGAAGTAAGTAAAAGAAGTAACACTCGTTATTTAACTTAAAGTAGGCTACGTTCTGTATTTGAAAACTGCGCTATGCAAAGCAGTTGACTTATGCGTTTCTCTGATTGGTTGTAGGTCTACCGACTATATCCAATTGAGTGCAGAGGTTTTTTTTTTTCCTGGTTCGGTTACGACACGCCTCATAATCAAAGCCCAATGGAGGAGTTTCAGACTCATATTCTCTCTTGAATATGAGTATGACGAAGTCAGGCTATCATTTTAATGTCTACCTTCATCTTTTACTCTGTTTTTCATCTGTCCACATCCTCTCCTTTGCCTTCTTCTCTTTGTTTCTCTCTCTTCTTCCATCTTTCTTTCATTCTTTAACTTCATGTTTACACCCACCTCTCTGTCTTTATCTTGTCTGGTAATTTGGGTCAGTGTTTACTGTTACTGTTAACGTTAACCGGCCTGCATGTGTCCTCTATTCTGGCTCTGTCCACTTCTGTTTCCTCCGGTTTTTTTTTTCTCTCTCATTCTGGGCATGCGGTGAACAAAACATAGAATAGACTGTGAAACAGTGCCATTGGAAAACACAGAAATCTGCAGAATTTGGTGGATGCCAATGTTAAATATCTGAAAATAACTTTCAATGAAAATATGTGTTTATAAAATGGACAAATGAGAACGAAGATCTTCCCTTAGGGATTGTGTGTGTCTGTGTTCATCCATTGTACTGAGAACACAAACAATTCGTGTACTCTATTATTTGTCAGGAGTTAAACCACGCTTGCTCTTCTTTCTTACAACATGCACCACTAGATGGAAGCATTTATCTCTCAATACACACACCTTATCAGTCTCAGAACGAATATAGTCCCACAGGCCCAGTGATTCCTCTTGTCAAATTTACATTCAGCTCTCTCTCACACACACACACCTTTCCATTGCTCAACCATACGTTTCTTACAGCTGAAAAAAGTTTTATTTGACTTGTTTTAGAGATTTTTTTTTTTACATCTGTTGTGAATATGTTGTGAGTAGGTTTTCATTGACTCAGCTAATAGCAATTCTGAACTATGACTAAATGAAGGTCATATATAGACTACTAATCTATAATCTAGATTTATGATCCCATTGCAAGAACCTTATAGCTATACTAATCATATGATAATATAATAGCCTACTAATAAAAAGCTATATAACTAATACTATAAAAAAAGACTTTGTGCCCAAAGTATAGGCTATGCATCAGTTATTATTTAACTCTCCTTTAATAAAATTATACACAATTTAATAAATGAAAACTCTGTCATAATAAGATTATAATTTCAGGATGTGAAATCTTTCGACGAAGACAATTGTATCTTATTGGTTTCAACACATTGTCACATCTTGTTATATTTAGAAGAGGATGATTTTATAGAAAACTCACCTTGTTTCTGAACAGTAAACAATTGAATCTAACTGAAAACTGTAGGCTATATTATACTCTTAATATTATACTTATTTAATTTAACAACTTGATGTGTAATGACCTTGAACCTTCGGCCAGTGATGGCTAAATGAATTGCGATCCTGTTACTTTTTACACTCTTAAAAATAAAAGGTCCCAAAAGGGAACCTTTATTTTTATTATTAAAGCCATTAGATGAAGCTTTATATGTTCCCAAAAGAACCTCTAAGTGAACAGTTCTTAAACGTGTACCATTTTTGCCCTCGTGTGAAGAATATTTTATAATCTAAAGATCCTTTACAAATAACCTTGTGCATTGAAAAGGTTCCATGGATGGGAAGATTCTTCATCATGAAACCATAGAGAGCCTTTCTGTTTAGGAGTGCATATTTATCAACAGTCAAACATAGGCTATTTGTGTCAGACAGGACGTTTATCTCAAATAAATTGACTTATAACACATTTCCATAATGGAAAACGCACACATTTGTTGGAAGGATAGCCGGGGAGCAGTGTGCATCAGAAGAGGATCTTGTGTTCTTCCATGAAGATGTTCGCAGACAGTCTCACGGTTTCTTCCCGTTCCGTCGGGCGCGTGTCATGCTCCCCTCGCGTCTACGCATCTGTCCGTCCCTTCTCTCACAGAGCTTTCTCTTCTAATATCGGCGAGGACTGGGTCAATGGCGGTGGGAGGTTCGAGCTCACAGAGATACTGAGGGGATTCGCCAACTCTCTTCAGAAGCTCTCGCTCCACGCCTGCTGATTCTGAAGGAGAAGAAGACTTGTAGAGGCAGGCGCGCGACAGAAGCTGTGCGTGTTCCCGCGGGCTCGTCCCGGTAAAGATGCGCTGGAGTGAAGTGACGTTCAACTGGCAACAGCTTTAACTTTAACACCAAGTGCCGTCCGTTGGGGGAAAAGGCGGGAAACTGATCATTGACAGTGCTTGCATTTGTTGAGGTATTGATAAAGATGAATTAACGGAGAATTGTCATGGGAGCGAATTTGGGGTTCGTCTTGGAGTCTATGCACGTGGTCCCGCTGGATTGACTCCGGATCAAGCTGTGACTGACAGCTAACGTCGAATTAAACCAAACCGCTGGAAGGGACTGCGATTGAAACCTGTGCTTCAGGTGTTATCCGATGCTATCAGAGTCTCGAGGATGCCGTGAGACCACGAGTGGCGTGATGAGAAGTTTCACGTTGCTTTTGGAGAGTTGTAAACGCAACTTGAGCGTTCAGGATGTCTCAGGAACTCTGCAATGGATTTTGCTCTAAAATCTGCATAGGGGTTGATAATCCTCACGTTCATAGAAGGAGCTCTTTCTTGATGCTGGAGATACGCAAATCTGAAGGCTTATTCATGATGTATCGAGACTTATGGATGGAATATGTGATATAAAGAAGACTCAGTGGATTTTCTGAAGTTGCATAGTGATCGCCACGACAAATGTGAAGATATTTATCAAGCATGTAAAGAGATAAATGGACAACGATCAACACGTTGATTTTTCAGGGTAATGGATTCAGACAGCGAGTGTTTTTCTGACAATTTCACTTGTAATCGCAATATTATAAAGACTGACATACTGAATAGTTACAATCTTTGCTTTATGAGTACAGAAATGGCTGTCAAATACTCTTGCACAATTCACAATAATGCGCTGACTTGATTGGTTTATTAGATAAAGTTGAGGATCATTGAACGTCTTCTGCTCATCAGTAGATGGTTGACACGTCAACAAGTGACTGAGGTAAATCGTTGTCTCTCTATATGGACGCAGTTTCAGTTTGTTTAGCATATGCATGTTTAAGTTAAAAAGTACAGTGATATAAAAATCAATTTAATCAGCTTATTTTATTTTACTGTGTAGTCTTTTTTTGTTTTAAAATATTGCCTTAGTTTGTGGAGTTTTCAAGTGAGGTGAAGAGTGAGTGCAAGGTTTTGCTGATTTTGTTTTCTTAACATGGTATTTTAAACGTCACTGTTTCATGTAGTCAGTTTATTTCTTTTTACCAGGTTTTTGCAGAGCTGGAATAAGGATAAAATTCGGCCCTGGAAAAATCCAGCTCATCCGTGCCACGAGAAAGTTTTTTTTGTTTTTTTTTTAGGGCCTTAAATTGGAGTAAATAAATGAATACATAAAATAGGACTTGAATAAATGATGATAGAGATGATTGAATTCACTGCAAATACATGAAAAAAAACCTTGACATTACATTTTTGTCACATAGAAATGCACTTGACAGTATGCACTGATTTTGAGCTAAGATGCGGTGAGGTCAATTGTGTTCCAAACCTGTATGACTTTCACTCTTTTGTAAAACACAAAAGTAGATATTTTGAACCATTTTGGTTAGGCAACACTTGACTTCAAATGTATGGAAGAAAAACAAAAGATACTCAAATGATTTTCTTTTATGTTCCACAGAAAGAAAGTCATTCAGGTTTGGAATGACACAGGGTGAATAAATTATGACATGGTGGGTCAAACTACCCCTTTAAAACAACATTTGTAAAGAGTTAACACCTAACTTATTTAAGGCACTGGTATCTATCTTTCATCGGGATCTCAATTAAAATTCCATAGCACTATTCATAAAACATAATTAAAGAGAGAAAAAAAATGCTTTGTGCTTAATTCATGGGATGTAGACTTTAAAGCTGCTTTGTTAAATCCTCCTTTAATTGCCCTAATTAATTTTACAGTTCTTTCATAGAATCCATAGTTTTACTTTATTTACGATTTGTTTGACTGTAATCACCCCCTTATCCAAAATGATAATTACATATGTCATTATTTAACATGGACAATAGGGTCTGTTATCCAGTAGTACAGTATATTTTAGAATCAAGTCGGCTAAACCTTGTGCAAATAAGCTTATTTGATATAGAAATAGAGGGAGGATTTAGAAATATTTCTAAATAACATTCATTGTGATCAGCATTTTAAAATCCTCAAACATTATGTTTTTTGTTTATTTTACTTTTAAACCCTGATTCTCTGTTTGGACTCACCATATATTTTCACTAATAAAGCTTGTATTCAGGTGTATAGATTCTGGATTTTCATTCTGGTGTGTAAACCCTCTGTATCTCTGTGCTTACAGTGGTCCGTGCAATATCAGAATGCTCATACTGGTATGAGAGCTGGTCCTGTGGGTTTACATCCGGCCCTCTGTGCTTCCTTCTTTTCCTGCCCTGCTTCTCGCTGTCCACATGCAGGCGAAGAAGCGATACCTGCTGGTATCTGTGGGGGCCTGTAGCCTGCTACTAGCCTACCTGTGTGGCCTACAGATCGGCGAGTTCCAGAACCACGCAGAGCTTTACGGAGTCTCACAGATCCCTGGTGTCCCACCTCGTCCGCCTCGCTGGCCAGAATGGCTTGATCCTCCGCTGCAGACGTACCTGGGTGAGGCAGAGCAGGAAGAGGACGGGCCGCTGCTTCTTCATCAACACACGTCTCCTCGCGAGAGGCGGGAAATCCAGAAGAACATCTACAAGAGCCGGCGATGTCGAATGGACACCTGTTTCGACTTCCAGCGCTGTGAACGGGGCTTTAAAATCTACGTTTACCCCCCTCAGAAAGGTGAAGCACCCTCGGAAAGCTACCAGAAGATTCTGGCAGCCATCGAGGAATCGCGGTTCCACACGACAGACCCTAACCAGGCCTGTCTTTTCGTACTGAGTATAGACACTCTAGACAGGGACCAGCTGTCCGCTCAGTATGTACACAATGTCCGAGCCCGAATTCAAAGCCTCCCGCTGTGGTACGAAGGGAGGAACCATCTGATTTTTAACTTGTACTCTGGAACGTGGCCTGATTACACGGAGGAACTAGGCTTCGATATCGGCCAAGCCATGTTGGCCAAGGCCAGCACCGACATGGACAACTTCAGACCACACTTTGATGTGTCCATCCCTCTGTTTTCAAAAGACCATCCTCAGAAAGGAGGGGGAAAAGGTTTTCTGAATCTTAACAATGTCCCTCCTTTACGGAAATACTTGCTGGTCTTCAAGGGGAAGAGGTATCTAACCGGCATTGGTTCTGAAACCAGAAATGCTCTGCATCATATACACAATGGGGATGATATCATTTTATTGACTACATGCAAACATGGGAAGGACTGGGAGAAACATAAGGATGCAAGGTGCGACAGAGACAATGAAGAATACACAAAGTAAGTCTGACACTTTCCTGTTTTATTTCTTTTTCACGCTGGTGTAAGGACTGGAGCTTGTCTTTAAAAGAATATTTCATAAAGATTTCCCAAACCTGTAGGATTTTGTTTCTTTATCTTTTTTTGACCATACAATGAAAGTCAGCAGTTGAAACAGTGGAAACATTCTTATGAAAAATGTCTTATTTTGTGTTACACACATTCCAGGTTTGGAATATCATTCACCAGAGGAGTAAATATATTGTGAACTATTCCTTTCCTTCCTTTCCTACAATCTCATTCAAGCCAATGAGGTGCAGATTGTTGTTTGCTCGATTATGCAGGTTTTCCCCTCAGTTTTGGCTTTACTTTTATGTTTGGTCATTTAAAGGTGAACCTGAGTAAACGGCATTGAGGGTAGAAAGCAAAATGGCAGTGTTTAATGTCAGTGTGATTTAGACTGTTGCTTGTTTTGTACTCTAGACTGTAGTGTTCATGTAGTTATCATGGGAATACCGCTATAAATGGAAGTGGTGTTGCATTTGTCTAGCTCAGGAAAAAAGTGCTGTGGAAAAGGACTCTAGAGGACTCTTACCCTGAAACAAAGCCAGTCTTAATCTTTTTGTGACAAATAAATGAGTGGTTTGTGTAAATGCACCGTTTTGGTGAGATTTACTCATTTAGTGTTTAATTCTCTTCAGTACAATGATAAAAAAGTGATTGCCTTATATTATAAAGATGTGCGTGCAATGCTAATAGTTTATTTCTTTTTACATTAGACACTGAGTGCCATGTGCAACAACTAGTGGCATTTTCTGTGGATCCAGTTTTATTTTTGCAGATACAATGTGTTTATGTGTTGTTTTGAACAATTTAACAGAATTTTTATTTTATTTGCATGCGTCTCTCACTGATGTATATGATTTCAAAACAGGTTGTAATTACATTTTACATTTATATTAAGCCCTCTTCTCCAAAAATGAATCAGTATTATATTCAGCTTTATTTTATTTGTCCCCGATTCTATTGTACTGATGTAATGGTGTTATTACACATTTATTACCATGTAATTACAGAGTAATTACATAGGCACAATTGAATTCCCATTTTCTGAACATTGCAAGAAAAGCAGACTCACAAAATATATACTGTGTGTATGAATTGTTTAAATTGTGTTAGAAGCAAAAAGCATGAGTGTAATTTTAAGTGTAAATACAAACAAGTAAATAATAAGTGTCTACAGTAAGATCATTAAGATCATTACAGTCTATACACTATACAAAATTGGAAACTAAAAAATACAAAAACAAAATACACATTTGATATCAAATTAACCATAATATTCACATTATGTATTTATGATTCAGTAGAATCAGTACAACAAAAAAGACAGATGAAATCAAATGGTTTGGACATTACACCAATTTCGATTTTACTCACTGGTTTTGAAATGAAATGCTTAACGAGCAAATGTTGTTCTGGCGTCCGCATAGTTTTGAGCATTTAGTGTATTAAAGAGTACTGCATTAATGAATATAATGTAGAGTATCAAACAGTTGGCAAGATTGGACTTTTAAGTAATTGGTGAATCATCAGACTGAAGAAAGTAGGGTTAGAAGGTCTTGACTTGCAGACTCTTTATACTTGATATATGAATTGAGAGGATTTTAGAGAGGCAGAACAGTCAATAATTGGCCCTCGGTTGAATTAAGCAGGAGCTTAGACTTACAGAAAATACACCCACACAAAAATGCGCGCACGCGCGCACACACACACACACACACACACACACACACACAGGCACACATGCATTTTCAAAAAAAAAAAACATAATATTGTATGATTTATAAGCTGTAAGATTTTGACCAAAAATGTCACCACAAGGGCAAGGATTTCGGAGATCATTATGTGTGCTTTGCTATCCATGTGTGGTGCAGGCAACTGGTCTATAATGCATGGTTTTGTCATACTTTTATGGTATAAGTTATGAGATCATTAGTGGTGTATTCGGCTTCTTAAAACATTTGCCTATACCAAGATAAATGATACTTTAAATACTCAAATGACAATTGCATCACACACATAAACAACAAGGATGGTGTTGCATACAAGGACTATATTCATGCTCTTCAAGGCCAGTTTCACACTGTGTGGGATGTGAGCTTTCACTCTGATGTTGTTTATGGTCCATCACAGACTTTGTCTCAGGGGTTGACTTTTATTAAAACTATCAGATTTCAGGGTTTTCTTTTTGGCTCCATTAAAACAGTCTTATAAAAATGAAGGTATAATAAAAAAGTTTCCTTCTTTTTAAATGCCTTATATTTCATTGTTGCAGGCTTAAAATATGAAAAAGGTTTTTTTTTAACCCCTTAACTGTCACCGTCCCGGTACCGAGACGCCTAACTTTACTTTACTATATTTCTATTAAATCCTAATCTATTTATGACAAATTTTATATTGTTGAAAAGGTCTAAGACTTCTAAATAGATATTCTAACCCTGTTTTGTGTTACAAATTATGTAGGAAGAGTAATTGATGAATTTATGACAAGAGTGCACCTCAAAAAAATCTGCATCATAACAGGGAGGTCTGACCTTTGTCACAAAAAGTCGATGCACCCACTTTTAATCATCGAAACGTCTATTTTTATGCTAAAAGTTCATAATAAAACATATCTAGTATTTTTAAATAAAAATAAAAAGTTATAGTATAATATTATCCTCTAAAAATTAAAAAAAAATATATATTATCCTCTAAAATATAATATTATTTTTTATCGCCTTTTTATTATATATTATACATATTTTAGTAGTTATCATAAATTAGGTATCATTTGAAAGCTTATAAACTCAGAATTCATCCTGTAAAAAACATTTAATTATTGACCGTTGTGTTACCATAGAAACTGTACTTATTTTATCAGAATCCTCCCCTTTTGGGCATCATTATATTTCATAATTTATGATCAAAACCTTTTCTAATCTTGACAAAACATGTTTTCAGAAAGATCTGAGTCTCAAGGTTCCAAATTTTGTGACAGAATTGATATTTGGACAGAAATGTATTAATTTGTTAAGGCAGAATACAACTAAATTCAATGGAATTCAATGCCACCCGGTGGCTATGTTTGGTACTACGCCTAAACAAAATCTCATGGGAACTTCAATTTTTGTGATATCAACTTCAAATTTGGAACACAACTTGGTTAGATTTATGGCTTTGATTTTATAGTAATTTTAGAGCAAATTTTTTTTGTAAAATATATATTTTATATAAAATAAAAATATATAGTACAGTATATTTGATTTACTGTAAATTTAAACTTCCATAACGGTTTCATACAGTATTTTTTTTTTGAAGAGTTTTCACTTCAGCAGTAATCTGCTGAGTATTTTCTTTAAAACAAGACCAAACTTGGGTATATATTCCAAAGCATTCTTGAATTACAAGCATTTAAGTTTGAATAGTGCATTTTAACCCCCATTCTCAAAAAGGGGGGTGACAGCTAAGGGGTTAAACAAGGAAACAAAAGTGTCAGTGAAGATCTCGAGATGAAATATGAGATGTGATGTGAGAATATTACTCAAGTGTGAAAATATTATTTAATTGTACGTATTTAGGCATACAATTAAATATTTTTTTTTATTTCTACCATCAATATTTCCATTATACTGCAATGCTGTTATATGATCGACCATGCTACTATACAGTTGTGATCATAAGCTTAAATACGTTTTTTTTGTCATGTAATTTGATTATTTTTGTTTTAAATATGATTTTGTCTTGTACTAACTTGTGTTATTTGAAATAGCTAAAAGTACTAAATGGAAAAAGAAACATGCCATGTTTATTATCCCTCATATTTTGTTAAACTTGTTAACATTTGGCAAGGTGTAGTGTATGTAAACTCATGACCACATATGTACTGTTAGAAACGACGGAGAGTGGAGAAATCGAAGTGTGAAAGTGTGTTTGTTTTTAATAGAGCTTGTTTTTTAAAAGTCAGTTTTCTGTTGAGTGTGACGCGTGGACTATACTCTACTCTCAGATCCACCTCTGACTGCTTATACGGGCACTGTGACCTGTTAATGCGCGGTGCAAATCCGCATCGCAGATGCAATAAGTGTGAAACAGGTCAACACCACATAACTCAAAGAGTCAACAGGCACAACACCACTGCATATATCAATGCCACACTGCATGCAGGGAACCATTTCTGCTTGGTGAATGTGCAAAACATAATCGTGATTTTAATGGTAAAAATGCTACAGTGCAAAACTGTTAATTGGTTTACAGAAATTTTGCGTACTATATCCGGTAAATAAATGTGATAGATCTCATGGTACATTTATTGTAATTTTACTGTAAAATACTGTTAAATTTTCAGTTTTTGAAAGTGAAAAAGAACAACTCATTGTATAATTTACAGTGGGAAAACGTAAATGTACATTCCCACAATTCCCTGTGTGGCAATTCACTTCAAAAAATTATATATTTTTGTTGAAATAATTATGGTTCCTCATTGTTTTCTTGTTTCCCCCCCCACAATCAGTTGTGTACATTAGGGTTTAATGTTACATTTAATGTTTTTAAATGAATGTTTGTTGCATTTTTTTAATTGCATATGTGACCATGATGGTGTTTAATGTTTGTGTGAATGACACTGTGCAGCTTCTTTATATAATTAACCTACTTATGGAAGACTGCTTGTGATGAGCTTCGACTGACCATGTGACTCTCATCACTGATTGTTGGTTGTCAGTGTATTACATTTACAATGGTACAAAACAGATATCAATTCTTCAATAGGTTGGTAAAATAACATTATATGAGATAATGAAATACGGTATATTACTGTAAATTTTAAGATAAGTATGTAAAACCAATAACGGTGCTACCGTATTTTTGACGGTAAAGTTCTGGCAACCACAGCTGCCGTTTTTTTGGGGGTTTTTTTACCGTAAAAATTACGGTTTTATTTTTTTTGAATTTTGAGTGAATCCGGTGAGAGCTCCACT